GGAAATCTTCATAGTCTTTTTTGAAGTTTGTTTTTGTATATAATGTTTTTAAGATTTATTGTGTAATTATTTTGTTCTATTGTTATTCTCTTATCTGCTTTATTTCTTTTCCAGTGGTATATTAAAGGAATATTGTTTTCATTTTGTATTATTCCAATTTTATCAAAGTGTAAAAACGCTTGTGGAGTTTTATATACCTTGTTTTGTTTTTTATTTAGAACATCAGTAACTTTTGGAAATTTTGATGATGAAATTATCAATTCTGTTAATGTTAGCCTATTGCAATATTTACAGCAATATTCATAGTTTGATAAAGGTTTAGGCATACTCTTAGACCTTTGTGCTCTAATACCCTACATTTTTCAATTACAGATGCCCCGTGTTCCATCATATCGGTGCCGCATAAGTTATTATTGGTCTTATTAGTAATAAATATATGATTATTTTTGCACTGCTTGTTGTGGAATATGTTACTGTGTGCTCTGAATGCCATGAATGCTTTTTCTGATTATATTGTGTGGTGTGTGTTTCCTCTTAGAAGGTAATCAATGTGATATCCCAAATATTTTGGTATAATATAAAATTATATTAGTATATATTTATATGAAAGCTTTTAATTCCTTCTGTATTAGTTTTTGAAAGGTGCTGTAGTGTTTTTCTAAAAAGTATTGTTTCACATTTATTTAGGTTTAGTTTTAAATTCCAATTTATCAGCCAATGGTTAATTTTTTCAACTATATATTTGGATATTTATCAGCTGTGTATATAATTATATCACCTGCATATGCAAGTAATTCTGAGTTATTATTATTATTGATATTACATAAAGTCAATAAGGCACTGATATAAATTATGAATATTAATGGTGAATTTACTGTTTTGTTGTAAGCCTTCAGTGATGTTAAATGTGAGATTTGATATATTAATACCGTCCCATGTTTAAATGTTTTGTTACATATCATGTCTTTGATCAGAAATAATAACCAGTTGGGGAATTATTTTTTGTCTAATTTATATAACAGACCGTCCAACCATATGGAACTAAAAGCTTTGATCATACCGCTTACAGTCAAAGCTAGGAGGCTAGAAGTTAATATCAAGATCGAGATAGAAAGCCTTTTATTTCAACTCCCAAAGTTAACCAAAATGATCCGAAGCGCCAAACTCACGCAAATACGGATCGTAACGCCAAGTTACCAAAAGTTGATTACTCAACCATCGACAGGGCTGAGATAGAAAATCTTCAAATCTTACATAACTCTGCGTCGAAGTCGATAGGTTCTTAGACCATATACAGGGTGTCCCAAAATATGTTACTTCTGGGAAATGAAGGGCTCCTGAGGTCATTTGAAGTAAATTTTTCCTTAGCGAAAAACACTGACCAATGAGAGGTGACCTTGGTTGGCGCAAGTGGTCGAAGCCCAGTTCCGTTCGTTGGCTCGATTGCCTTGCGCCAGTTGAACTCATAAACAAAGCCGCGGATTGCATTTACGCTAAGGAAAAAGTTATGTACTTCAAACGACCTCAGGCATAACATAATTTTGAGACACCCTGTATAATTATAGACATGGCTTCAAATAATTTTCCCGATGCTAAGACAAATCATCTATATGACGTCACAGTGAACTTGATTTTGAAAGAGTAACCCACCGATATTCCAAACGTGTTGAACTGTTTTAATATTTGATAGAATATGCCAAAATGTTTAATTTTTAGAAATCATATTCAATTAATCACGTGTGAAATATGCATATTTTGAGAATTATAACGCCGCAGAATGTATTTAAAGTTTAATTGGATGTTGATACTGTTCAATCAGTAATTATTTTCTTATAATTTATTCTAGTTTAAAGGAGTAATAAAAACAATACGTAGATGTTTGGATGAAAACTATTTATTTTTATTTACTGATTCGCAAATAAAATTGCTCTAGTAAACTGTGTGTGTGATGTCTTATTCTATTTTGAGGTTTTCTTCTGTTCTCATTCTATTTTATAGAAAGGATTCGGAAAGAATAGAGTTGCTGTGCGTATGTATAGTCTAAGGTTTAGGAAAAAAATGGAGATCAGCGGAGCTCCACGCCCGCGCCCGCGCCTTATGCCTAACGGTGACGCTAAGCGCGAACCGCAAACGAATTAGTTGATCCACTATTGGATCCATCCACCACCGTGGATTGAAGCATTATGTACCACGGTATTACGGTGTTACACCGTGAGCATTACTTAGAAACGTAGATTGTGAACAACAAAGTTTTTTGAACTAGATAATTCGATCTTTTTCGAATTATTTATCTTTATTTTACGACTTTATAAAATAATTTTAAAATATTCTTACATATATATATATATAGTTTACTCTACTGATATTGTACAGCTAACTCGAGAGCAGCATCCGTGATTGTATACATATTGTTACGAATATTTGGTCGAGATTGTCGATGTCTGTTATGATATCGATACTTGAAATGTTCTTGGTGACACCAAGTTGGCGTAGGTTGCACGTTGCAGCGTCGTTTTGGTAATGACGTTGTAACAAGTAACAGGAGAACAACGGGGAACAACAAACAACAGAACGGAGAGTCGGTTGATGGACTTCGTTAGGAGTGGATGTAACACGAATCCCTCCTCTCGAAATAAAGAATATAGGATTTGTTTATAATACGTCCTGATTATTTTAATTATGTCACAATTATGTGCAACAATATTATGATCGGTGTGCCGTCTGTGACGCGCTAGTGCAAATCTATACATATCTATGTACATATATAATGTATCTATACACATGTAAAAATCGTTCGTAGAGTACCGTTACCGCGTGTTACATAGCCACATCTACATATTTCACTGGTGTGGATTGTTGACATAATATAATTTATTATCATGGTTTTTAATATTTTTTCTTCATTTCGATCGTTTAAAGTTATGTGTATGTCATAACACATTTCATGTACATATGTTTTTTGACGTTTACAAGCTAATTATATATTCCTCAAATACCAGAAATAATAAGTTTTGATCTCGTTCGAACATTTCCACGTACACAGAAGTGTATATGCAATATAGTTGGTTGAAGTTATAGCACAATTATGTCAAACGAAATTATTAAAGGTCCAAGAAAACGAATAATGACGGTACGAATTAATGAACAAATATTTCCTACTGATTTCCTACTGAAGTTATTAAAAAGTACATTATTTAATTAATAAATATATGAAGAACAAATTTGTTGCATTTATAATTCTCTAAGGAATTATTTGATAATTATAATAATATATTATAATAATTACTTGTAGACATGCAACAATGTATCGGAACAAGCACACCATGTTTCAAGAGCAAAACGTGGACAAGCAGTAGGAAGTGTGAGAGGTTTTCGTGGATGTACAGTTTGGCTAACAGGACTTTCTGGTGCAGGAAAAACTTCTATAGCTTTTCAAGTCGAAGCTATTTTAGTTAACCATGGGATTGCAGCTTATGGTCTAGATGGAGATAATGTAAGAAGTGGTTTAAACTGCAACCTTGGTTTCAGCAAAGAAGACAGAAAAGAAAATATAAGAAGAGTAGCAGAAGTAGCTAAACTGTTTGCAGACAGCAGTCAAATTTGTTTATGTAGTTTCGTGTCTCCATTTGAAGAAGATAGACAAATGGCTAGACAAATACATAAAATGTCGGATCTTCCATTTTTCGAAGTTTTTGTGGACACACCCCTCAATGTGTGTGAAGCTAGGGATACAAAAGGATTATACAAAAAGGCACGTCAAGGAATCATTAAAGGTTTCACTGGAATAGATCAAATGTACGAGAGACCAATAAATCCTGATTTGATAGTAACTACTGAAAATTGTAGCCCAGAAGAATCTGCTGCAACAGTCATTAATTTTTTGGAGAAACAATGTATTATTCCAGTACTTCAAAAATCCACAGTACTCATAAGAGAATTGTTCGTCCCAGAATCACGAATAGTATTTGTTGAAGCAGAAGCTTCTACACTTCAAAGTTTAGAAATTAGTAAAATAGATGTGCAATGGCTACAAGTTTTAGCTGAAGGTTGGGCTGCTCCTCTTACTGGTTTTATGAGAGAAAATCAATACCTCCAGGTATATATAAAATAGGTGGCTAAAATATTTAATAACATTATATGAAAATATTACAGAAGACTTAGCTATATTATTATTATTATATCTATAAGAAGTTATATGAACTAAATAATATTTTCAGGTTCAACATTTAAAATGTCTTATAGAAGATAACAAGGAAATTAATCAATCTGTCCCAATAGTTCTTGCAATAAGCACAGAGGATAAGGAACGTTTGGATGGACATTCAGCTTTTACACTGAAATATGAAAATAAATCTCTTGGAATATTACGTAGGCCAGAATTCTATTTTCACAGAAAAGAAGAGAGATGTGGATGGCAATTTGGTACTAATAATCTGATCCACCCATATGTTAAAATGATTTATGAATCTGGAGATTGGTTGGTGGGTGGTGACATAGAGGTTTTCAAAAGAATTAGATGGCATGATGGATTGGATAAGTATAGGCTTACACCAAATGAAATTAGAGCGAGATGTAAACAAATGAAAGCTGATGCTGTGTTTGCATTTCAGCTTCGAAATCCTGTACATAATGGTCATGCATTATTAATGCAAGTATGTTGATTTATTAAGTTATTGTTTAGGGTATGTATTATAATAAATTGTTACATGTTTTATTTCATTCTTCTAGGACACAAAAAAACGTTTATTAGGTGAAAGAGGATTTAAGAATCCTGTATTACTTTTACATCCATTAGGTGGATGGACGAAAGATGATGATGTACCATTGCATACAAGAATTCTTCAGCATGAAGCTATATTTAGTGATGGTGTATTAGATGCTAATTCTACAATATTAGCAATTTTTCCAAGTCCAATGATGTATGCTGGGCCAATCGAGGTGAAATCCTACTTGTAGTTATATAAATCATTTTATAAGTATTAAAGTAATAATACTTTTATCATCTTTTAATATGACATTAGGTACAATGGCATGCAAAAGCTAGAATGAATGCAGGCGCTAACTTTTATATTGTTGGAAGAGATCCAGCAGGTATACCACACCCTAATAAAAATTCAGTTCCTGATGGAAATCTTTATGATCCAACTCATGGAGCTCGAGTTCTTTCAATGGCTCGAGGTTTACAAAATTTAGAAGTAGTACCTTTCAAAATGGCAGCATATGATATAAAATATAAGAAAATGTCATATTTTGATCCAGCGCGAACGAAAGATTTCGAGTTTATATCAGGAACAAAAATGCGTGGTATGTTTACATACACATTAAACGAACAATGTACTCTTAACATTCTATCCACTATCAGTTTTCTAATAATTATATGAAAAAATTTGATATGAAAGTTATATAATACAGCACTCTTTTATAGGATTAGCAAAAGCAGGTGAAAATCCACCTGATGGATTTATGTCACCCAAAGCATGGCTTGTTTTGGCACAATATTATCAGAGTCTGGAAAAATGAAAAACATCTAGTAGAATGAGAGAAATATTAACTAATTTAATAAACATATTTGGGATAAAATTAATTTTACAATGTATTTCTTAATTTCTATTTCGTATAAATACAAAATCTAATTGTATTTTCCATACATATTTTATATGAATATACATAGCTTCAATATAGAATTTATTACTGCGTATACATTTGAGAAATGTATATTTTCTTATGATCTATAAATCATGTATGATTTTTATATATAGTCAACAAATTTCTAATATATACAGCAAAGATCTTGGAAAT